ACATTGACCGATTAGAGAGAAGAGACTCCTTCAGCTCTGTCTCATCAAATTGAATCTAATGGGGTGAATTGCGAGTAGGATGCTTCTGACGAACTAATGAACTGCGCTATCGCCTGTCAAACATCGAAATTGCTGACGCAGCCAAGAAAAAGTGCAAACAAGCGAAAATGCTCCGGGCCATCCGGTGTGCCAGTTCCCTTGACATTTATCGGTCTAGATTGCGTCGTGCGGAGATGATAAGATGAAAACGATCGCAGGCAAGCCAGGCCTTTGAGGGACACTGTGCAGCTAATCATAGGGCGTTTATTGTTATCATGACGCATTAGCAGCTCATGTCCCCGGAAAGCCCCTCACCAACCGGTGCCAGCTGCACCTAAGTCCAGCCCTAGATGGACGGCGCCTATCATTGTCGTAGACGTGGTAGGATAGTCAGGTTGCATTGGTCCGGTTCTAGAACCGGTCTGCTTGTTAGGTTCGGTCTGTGGTGAGAAAATAGTATACATCTGGCATTAGTTAACTTCCTCTACCAACTCCTCAGTGCAAGTTTACTGGAATGGCCGCTCTCGCGCTGCATAGTAATGTAGTACTGAGGCTGAGATTCGGGAATCCTCTATTGTCTTCGGTTGATGCTGAACCGCATGCCATTAACCATATGTGCCAAAATAGTTTGCACTCGGGAACAAGTCAAGATCCAGGGACTAAGCTAGCACTGCGGCTAGCACTAGAAGTACTACTATTATTGATTAGCAAAGTAAATGTCTTGATGAAAATATATTTGTACAAGTATCACACCATTCTTATATGCTGGGACGTATTTCCTCCACTAAAAAGAGATATGCTGTCGAGATAGATTCTTGTTCCAGATGGGGCAAAACAATACAAAACTATAAATTGCGATTAAGAGCATCCGCTGCCTGGCAAATGGTTTGGCGGCAACAGAACGTGCATTTTAATCTGCGATTATATCCCACGACCTTCTTCTAGTGAGAGCCAGAAGTGTACGCTCTTTTTGTAGAGCCAATGGTTATCATGCGTCGTAAGCCAGTCCCCGCGGTGTACAAGATCTAAGGCTGCAGGGGCATATGTAGAATGGCCTTACTGTCTCACTCTACTCCGAAGATCTCTTGAGTGTCACAAATGGAGAGTGCATGACCACATGGTAGATGCAGAGCAACCTGATACAATCGTTAATCATGATCAGAGCAAACAATGCATGTTTGTAGAGGAAAATACTATGTGCAGTACGACCGTCCTTGCACACGTAAATATAGGCAGCGGAGGGTCACACATTGAGCGCTTGATTATCCTTCGCCCCATCCCAACTACAACAGAAGCTACGATCGTATCGCAGATCATCATGGAAGTGATAGTCGTACGAAAAGTTTGCAGTTCCTGCTCATATGCAGCTCAAAAAGTCGTTGGAAGAAAGTGGCCAAAGCATTTTTCATTTCCTGCTGTGCAATGTCCGGCGCTTAAGAATCCTATGGATTCAGGCTCAATGTAGGGAGACAGGCTCACAGTTGTTCTCCTTGGTAAAACTGTGCGAGTGAGACATTTACCCTTCCATGAAGAAACAAGCATCCTCACGTCGTTCAGAAAAAGCTTGGTAGGCTGGAATGAAGACTACAGAGCACACAGCCCAAGCCAGGGTTGATGTCTCGCCCGAAAAGTGTTTCAAATATGCATCTTCAGGTCCACTTGTAGGAGAGTGCAAACGAGATGGGTGGGTAAGGCACCGATCGGACCCACGATGGTATCATGGTAGGGGTGGTTACTTTGTATAGAAGACGTTTCGAGCTGCTAGCAACCCGTGCATGCCGCATGACCCTGCATCAAGCCGCAGACCCTGCGCTGTTATCCTCATATCCAAATTAACTTGTACAACCCAAGCATCTGGATGATACCTTCTTTAGAGATGAGGCTGGAGGTTTCATGGCAAGAACCACGGGCGCGGGACATATCCGAAAAGACCTGAGATTCCAACCTCCAGCTCTTTGATAACATGGAGATGCAGGGATCGGATTCGGGACACAGTCTTTTATGGAAGAGACCCTAATGCCAAGGCAGCGTCAAATAATACTCCTTGTAATTTCCATGGAAAGTCTCGATCTCGACTTGCTTGATGGATCGCGCACCTTTAATTAATTAGTATGTGACCAAATGGCGCCATTTAGTCGGAAAGGTCGATGCGCCGGCTCACAGGCCGAGGATGAACCTGGACTATACTATGCCGGTTGAGCCATGAGTCTTAATTCATGGCCCGGCCAGCGTCAACCGAGTAAGAAGTAGATTTGTGATGATATGATCAAGGCTGATTGAAACTTGAGAGATTGTTGATTCAGCGCCACGAGGGGATAGGGATGTAAAGTCGAGAATGGTACAAGCTTCCTAACACTATCGGTCGGTAGGGCAGCGTGGCACGTGGCCCTTCCATATCTATAGTGTAGCTTCGGAGCTTCCATGTGAGAGGATTCAACACACCATCATCATCACCTTCATCACCAACACACACATACCCGCTTCATCGTCCAAGCTTCCACACAACTCTTTGAAGTCGGGGCTTCCTTGCCTAGACGGTTCATTATCCGGTTGGTCCACAAAATCTGCAACTCTTTAGAAATGGCATTTCTTGGCAGGGCGGACCTGGAGCAGCTTGGCTCCCCGTTGAAACTTGCTGTGTCGCAGACTTGCCGCCAGAGCACCGGCGCTTGCAGCTCCACTCGCCCGCTAAAGTAAGTAGTTAATATCCATCGGGGTTGTTCTGGTATCATTCCGACTCTCCCCTCCGAGTAGCGCTAAGTCGAAAGTAGTGTTTGTCCCTGAGAATGTCTCGACCGTTGACGCCGGAACCCACAGTTGTGTCGACGCTTAGTGGCCCGGTGCCTGGCTTTCATCAATCTCAGACTCGCCTTGCTGCGGCGACCCTATCTCAGTCAATATTCAGCATCCGACAACCGCACAGGATGTGGAAACTTGACAGGTGCCAAGGCAATATACGTGTAGCATGGCCGGCTGCAATGAACCTTTCATCTTTTTGGCCTCGGGGGTTATCCGGTCTGAGCTCTGGCCAAGCCTCGATGAGGTAGAGGATCGAAGAAGATATAAGAAGGCGTCAAACCACGACGTTGGGAGCTTCTTCATTCTTCTCACCAAGCTTCTCATTCCTTTCTTTACTTGGGTCTCCGAACCTTCCATTCTCTTTTTTGTTTCACATTCCAGGCTTCATTGATTGAAGACCGCCTTTGTCACTCTTTCCAAACCATCCTTTTTTAAAACTTTCACGCTGTGCGTCGATCTCAAAATGTCTGTTGCTAAGCTTGCTGGTGTTATCCTCGGTTCGGCTGCCCTCGTCGCTGGCCATGGTTACGTGTCGGGTGCTGTTGTCGATGGAACCTACTATGGCGGCTACATTGTCACTTCCTACCCCTATTCAAGCGATCCCCCGGAGACCATTGGATGGTCTACTGAAGCGACCGACTTGGGCTTCGTCGACGGTAGCGAGTATGCCGATGCCGACATCATTTGCCACAAGAGTGCCAAGCCCGGTGCCATCTCTGCTGAGGTCAAGGCCGGTGGTACTGTTGAGCTCCAGTGGACTACCTGGCCCGACAGCCACCACGGTCCTGTCCTGACCTACCTTGCCAACTGCAATGGTGACTGCAGCAGCGTCACCAAGACCGACCTCGAGTTCTTCAAGATCGACGAGAGCGGTCTTATCAACGATGACGACGTCCCTGGTACCTGGGCCAGTGATAACTTGATCGCCAACAACAACAGCTGGACTGTGACCATCCCCTCCGACATTGCGGCTGGCAACTACGTCCTCCGTCACGAAATCATTGCCCTCCACTCTGCTGGAAACAAGGATGGTGCTCAGAACTACCCTCAGTGCTTCAACTTGAAGGTCACTGGCGGCGGTGATCTCGCTCCTTCTGGCACTGCTGGTGAGAGCCTGTACAAAGACACTGATGCTGGTATCCTTGTCAACATCTACCAGTCTCTTTCCTCCTACGATATTCCCGGACCTGCTATGTACAACGCCTCCTCCAGCTCCTCCAGCTCCAGCTCCAGCTCCAGCTCCAGCTCCGGCTCTTCTAGCTCCGCCGCTGCCTCCAGCAGCTCCAGCACTACTGCCGCTGCCGCTGCCGCTACCAGCGCTGCTTCTTCCGTCACTTCTGCTGCTGGCTCCGTCGTTACCCAGACTGCTACCGCTGTTGAGACCGATACCGCCACTGCCTACCAGACTTCCACTGAGGTTGCGCAAGTCACCGTCACCGGTAGCGCTCCCCAGCAGACCTATGTTGCCACTCCCAGCAGCTCCAGCTCTGCTTCCAGCAGCTCCAGTGCTTCCGTCTCCACCAGCACCAACCTCACCAGCTACTTCGAGTCTCTGAGTGCTGATCAGTTCCTCAGCGTCCTCAAGCAGACCTTCACCTGGTTGGTCAGCGAGAAGAAGCACGCCCGTGACCTCTCCGCCTAAGCGTTAAGCTCTGGTATGGGCTACAGATCGATTACGCTTCTTTCCAATCTTCTATATAAATAGCCATTGTGCTTTCGCATTTTACTGTGATTATTCTATTCATTACGGGTCGGGCATCCTGTTATGTATCTATAAAATCAATTACAGAAGCACTGGTTTTCCCCATCCATTCATTAGTGAGAGAACGGTAGACAAAACTACGTTTTCATGAAATAGAAACTCCAGACTTGCCACAATTGCAACTACAGGAGGTATATCGGGGGCTAGCGCTGTCTCTGAATACGGGCTTTCATGCCGCATGCCCAAAAATGGAAGCAGCCACCGTGCCGGGCACGGGGCAGAGTGAATGAGTGAATGAGAGAAAGATGATGTGGGTGGTTACCTGCCCGGCCACTACCTCCGAGCGTAGTCAACCTTAAATCCATCAACACCTCCGCCATCGAGCTCACTTGGTCTCTTTCCATCACAACCCACCCCATCTAGTCACATACATTGGTCACCTCGTCTAAGTTATCAGCCGCCATTACGAGCAGCTCGTCTCCATCATGCCTCCTGCGCAGGACCGTAACTCCGCCTCAGACGACATCGAACCCAACCAGAAGAGTCAATCCAAGTGGCTTAGGGACTCCGGCTATGGCAACCTCTGGAAGCTTGGGCTCTGTTACGGCAAGAAGATTTATGATCAGGAAGACCTCGAAGATACCAAGGAGATCCTGAAAGCTTTGAGAGATATGGACCAGGAAGATTGGGAAGAGAGACAGGCGGAGAAAAAGTAGCATGACTCCACAAGAAGGTGGACTGCGATCTGCTGTATCGGAGTATGTTCAGATGCCTGGCGTCGTTACTTGGGGTCACTGACGTATTGTGCGAGGAATACTGATGTGGTTGATTTAGTACTGCTTGTCGACTCGCTCGAGGTTGTTTGCACTGGATGCAGGAGTTTCGCGAATATGGCTATGCCGGGTAGTGGGAGATGTCTCTTTGTTTTATGTCAAGCTTCCAGTTGTTGATGGGATGGCCAGGAGGACTATGTTACGTTATGTACGGTACTACAGGGTACCTGGCGATGATTTAATCGAAGGCGGGGAAGAGCGGCCGATTGTTGTTGCGGCAGTCAGACCCATCCATTCCCCTCCATCACAAGCCCATCCATTCTTTCTTTTGAATACCATTACTTGTCCTGCCCACCTTTGATCTTGAAATGGTTGGAGGGGCGTTCAAATACTCAGTTAACACATATTAAACGCTCTTGTGTACCCTTACTATCCGCCATCATGTTCAAGAAGAAGCCCACCGTAACCTACCCCTCCCCCGCACTGTCGAACCCCCGAGCCGGTTACTCAAATTTCATCACTGACCACATTTTTGATGACGACAGATCAAGAACCTTGCGCCTTTGCGCTCCTCGGATCGCAGGAAGATCGCCGACCAGATTATCGCTGATTACAAGATTGAGATCCCATCATCGAGCGCGCCCACCGAACCCAGCGGTGACGATTCGGCTGCCCCCAGCAGCGCATCCAACCCGACGGCGCCAAACCTCACCTCGATCCGGAATGCGCTTCTCCCCGACAACTGCCTGTCCGCGCGCTTCACCACGACGGCCGGACCGCAGCTCCGCGAGGTCCAGGGCACCGTCTACGTGGGGACGCATCCCGGGGGCGACGAGCGCGTGCTGTGGTTTAAGGTCGACCACGGCCCCGGCGCCGACGGACGCCTCTACCCGACAGTCTACACACTATGGCACAACGCAGGCTTAGTACCCCTGCTGCACACCCCGGGCATGGTGATGCAGAAGCTCCAGGGAGGAGCGGATCTGATGACTCCGGGTATCGCGAATGAGCCGCCGTTCGACGAGCGGGCGGTCAAAGGTGCGGTCGTCGCCGTCGCGGATCTGGACAGGTATACCGTGCCGCGGTTCGTGGGTGTCTGTGAGATCGACGTTTCGGCGCTGGGAGAAGTGCAGGGCGCAAAGGGCCATGCTGTTCGCGGACTCCACTGGGAGGGTGACGAGCTCTGGGCTTGGAGTTCGTCGTCCAAGCCTGGTCCACCGGCTCCCGAATACTTGGAAGGGTGGGACGATGTTGAAGAGGAGGACAGTGGCGAGACAAAGGAGATTGAGGGAGCTGTGAATGATATTCAGTTGGATGAGCAGGCTCCTGCTCAGGCTGCGGGAAATGATGAGGCTTCTGCTGAAGCACCTCAACCGGTTGAGGAAGAGCCTGTCGTTGAGGAGAAAGAGCCATCAACCAAAGGTCAGTAAAGCCTGCTACATGTTCTGATAACATCTCGTGCGTCAGCTAACATTGCACAGAGATTGACGAAGCCTTCGAGAAGGCTTTCCTTTACTCATTATACAAGCTCAAACAAGATAACCCTTCAACGCCCAACCACGGCTTGTCCTTACCAGTCCAGCCGTCCGCGCTGGTGTCGAACATGATCACGCCCTACCTTCCCATCCACACGCCCAAACAAGCTCAATTCTACCAGATCAAGAAGACGAGCTGGAAGAATGTGAAAAAGTTCATCAAATACCTCGACAAGCAGCGCCTGGTCAAATCCAAGGACCGCAACGGCCAGGAAACCGTGATTCTGGACGTCGACTTCAACGACCGCCGGGTCGAGCAGTTCGTCCCCTACCGACTGCCCTCCAAGAACGCCACCGAGAACGCCGCCAGCAACAAAGCCGGCGCCGGCCCGACCAGCAGCAAAGCCATCGCCTCCTCCGACAGCGACCCCTCGGTCGGCCAGACGCTCACCGTGCAGACCCTGTACCGACCGACGGGCAAGCTGGCGCCGACCATCTTCCCGGCCCTGTCCAGCACGCATCCCAGCAATTTCTACAAGTACGCCGACGTCTCCGCCCACCTGGACCAGTACCTGCAGTCGCAGAGCCCGCCGCTGATCGACCCCCACAACAAACGCATTGTCAACCTCAACCCCTTCCTCGCCAACACCGTTTTCACGTCGGGCTCGTCGGACGACCGCAGCACCCTCGCCCGCGGCAAGACCACCCGCGACGCCCTCCTGAAACGCCTCGTCGATGACCACGCCCTCCTGACCGCCCACTACGTCATTTTGAAACCGGGCCAGACCCTGGCCGGCGGCGGCGTCAAGCCCAAGGCCGGAGCCGCCCCCAAGGCCACCATCACCCTCGAGCGCCGCACCGGCTCTAAGACCGTCACCAAGGTCTCCGGGCTGGAGGTCTTCGGCATCATCCCCAGCCTGCTGGCCGAGGAGCTGCAGAAGAAATGTGCCAGCAGCACCAGCGTCGCTCAGGCCACCGGCGCAGCCAAGGGCGTCATGGAGGTCTTGATCCAGGGTGACCAGCGCCGGGCACTGGAGGAGGCGCTATCCCGCCGCGGACTGCGCTCGCAATGGATCGATGTCGTCGATAAGACCAAGAAGAAGAAATAGGGGGAGGGTCACTCGTGCGTCGTAGCGTTTTGGACATAGCCATACATTTACACTTATATAGTTCAACCTGATATCAGTTGGAGGATGCTGCAAAACAAAAACCAAAGATCAACGGTCCATTGTAAATACACACACCCCCTACATCCTGCGGATTTGGATCGAAACTGGAATACCACAACTGCCAGACGTCTACCAAGAATGCCTACAACTCTATCAAGAACATCGCGCCGACGAGAACCACTGGACTACTGAAAGACAGACATGATTTGGAACCCAAGTCCATTTGAAAGAAAAGCTAAAGGATAACAAAATAGGGGTAACTATACAACGCCATTATAGTATGGTCTTCTTTTAAAAGTCAAAAGGAAATCGAACCCAGGCCATGCTTTTTTTTTGTCTTCGAAATCCCATCCCTCCCCCCCCCAACACACATACACACGCCCTTTCATGAAATAGAGAAAATACTGGTATCGAAGTCTCTTTCTTTTTTTATATCATCATCCCCTTTACTCCTGCTTGGCATCCACCTTCTTGGCGGGGTGATCGCCATTGGCACCGTCCTCCTCACGGGCGCGCTTCTGGCCGGCGGACTCGTCGGTGGTGCTCTGGACAACAGGAACGCCACTGTAGAGAGGAGTATTAGAATCGCAACCACTTTTTAAGGTTAAGCAAGGGTGGAGAAGAGGGAAACTTACCGGGAGTCTTTCTGGATCTCCTTACGCTCCTCCTTGGGCTCCTCCTTCTTGTCGCTGAATCCGTTCTTCTGGTCAGCGGCGCGACGGTCTCTCCAGTCGCCGCGCTTGTTGTCGCCGCGACCGCCACGGTTGCCGCCGCGTCCACGGCCACCACGGTGGTGACCGCCACGTCCACGGCCGCCGCTGGGCTTGATGCGGCCGGCCTCGATCTCCCGGGCCTTCTCCTCGCAGTACTCCTTCTTGCTCTTGATGAGCAGGTCCTGCTCCTTCCACTTGGGCTTGGGGTCCAGGGCGAGGAAGGCCTGCTGCTTCTCCTCGGACTCGAATTCGACGAAGACGCTGCCCTTGAAGGTCTTGTCGTAGGAGCGGCGGAGACGAATGGCGTTGATGGGGCCGTAGGGGGCGAAGAACTCCTCGATCTCGAGCTGGGTGGTGGGGCCCTCCTCGCCGAAACCCTTGGCGTAGACACTGCGGTTCATGGCCTTGTCCTCGAACACGCGGACCACGGTGGGGTTGTGGTTCTCGGTCACGGTCTCGGGCAGGGGGGTCTTGCGGCGCACGCAGGTGTCGTTGTCGGTGAGCTCGACGGTCTCGGACGACTTAATAGCCTCGACGATGGCGCTGAAGGGCTGGAAGCGGCGCATGCGCTTGAAGGAGTGGAGGAGCTCGAGGGAGACGGGGCGGTTGCTGCTACCGCCGACCTTGGAGAGCAGGAACTTGTCCATGGGGAGGTTTGAGTCGGAGAAGTAGAATTCGACCTGCTTGCGGATCTGGACGGGGTCGCTGGTCACCTCCTGGCTGGAGGGGTCGAACTTGACGTTGTTGCGGTAGTTGGTGCGGCCTCCGCGACCCTGCTGCTGCTGCTGCTGCTCCTGCTTCTTGCTCTCCTGCTTCTGCTCCTCGGCCTGGGCGGACTTCTCGCCCAGCTTGGCGGCCGCCTCCACGATACGGGCCTCCTCGGCAGCCTCGTCGGTCTGCTTCGTCTCCTCAACGGCAGCAGCAGGAGCGGCAGCCTCGGTGCTCTCACCCTTCAACTCGGCTAGAACGTTCTGAACATCCTTCTCAGCCTCAGCATTGGGCTGGGCGACGGGCTTTTGTTCGTCAGACATGTTGTGAGATTATGAAAATGGGGTGTGTGAAAGTAATGATAGGGATGCGCCTCCTGCAATTGAAGAGATATCAGTAACCGCGTACCCAGAAATTAGTATTTATCAAGAATGCGCGGGAATGGGTAAGCGAGCATCAATAAATTCGAAATCTCTCGCCGGGGGGAGGGGGCAGCGCCGCGATACGGATTCGCCTGGCCAATAATGATCGGATGTCCGCGTGCAGCAGGAATGGGGGGCAAAATAGATCGAGTAGGAGTGAATGCTCACCTGTGAGTAATTCAGTTGCACGAGATGCAGGAAATTGGTGAACAGAACGGAGATTTGTCTAGAACCAGAAAACTTTTACTCCTAAAAAAAATAAAATAAGATTGGAGGAGAAAGAAAGGGAGATTCTGCCTCAGCTGCAAGAGGGAAATTTCCCAGGCCAATGCGCGGCGGGGGAAATTTTCTGACCGCCCGCGGAGCTGGCGCCACATTTGTTGACTCCTCTGTATGCCTCAGGCATACATATGTGGCGCATGGTTGACTCGGGACTCGGGAGCCAGTGCGAATAACCTCTCTGGGACGTTGGATCTATACACCTCCTCCCAATTGTCCGGCTGTATCCAACTTCCACTCATAGTATCAGTACCACCATCACACCTTTGAATAGAAACATTGAAGCAGAGATCACCATGTCTACTGGACTTGATTGCTCATCAGCCAGTCAACTCAATGAGCTTGTGCTGCCACATGTTGCTCAAATCAGCCTCAATTCTTGGAAACAACC